TATTAAAAACTTGTTTGTCTGTAACATGTTTTATTTCTCTCACTTTTTTTTATTTTTTTATTTTTTTTTGTTTTTTTTGCAGGAACGAAAAATATTATACTAAGTTAACGCTAATGACAATATCGATTAACTTTTTATGTGAGTATGTAATGTTTAACATTATGAAATACGTAATTTTTGTTTCTAATTCCGAATGTTCTTATCATTCCCACCTATCTTTCCAGACGATCATCCGATCCCAACCTGGTACACATTTTCCGGGTGCTAAATAATCAAGGTACCAGGGTGAGAATTCGATGATTATAAATATAATATTTCAAGTATATAAGAGATCGAAGTCTGAAGAAACTTTACTAAAGTCAAAATCGAGTCTTTAAATATATAAAATCGTGTACATAAATTAATACACTACTCAGTTGTCGGGCTATTCTTTCCTCCGTTATACGCCTTACATCTTCACAAAACCTTTCTATCTATTTTTCTTTACAAGAATCGCTTTGTTTCCCCACTTATTATGCAGCATTCTGATAATAAGTAAATGCGTTCTGTTCTCAAGAACAATTGAAACAATTCGGGTAACTCTATTACCATCCCCAAGTTTGGCGATTCCTACAATACCACAACATTTACGGGAACCAATAATTTAACGGTGGAACTCATCCCAAGAAAACGATTCATCCTTATCGATGAGTCTAATCCCTAAAGGCTTCGCGTCTATAAGCTATGTATAACTGACCAAATATAGTAGTAGAAATAAAATACGTTATGTATTTAAAATACAAAATAGGAAATGGATATTCAAATATAGTATGACTAAAATAAGAAGAAAAGAAAAAAAAATAAAGTAACACGGTTAACGGTTCAGGCCGCAAGATCGACATATGACAAAGGCGCAGAAAGTTTTTCACATGACGATAGTAACACACCCATATTGAATTATTATTTCATCTCAATAAATATATAATTTGATGCACCATTTTTATTCTTTTTACATTCCAAAGGTTCGAATTTTCTAAAATATTTAGAAAAATTTTTTGTTAAATGTTTTTCAAAAAATAATTTCTCACAAGAATGTAAACTTGGATTTTGTTGATTCGTTTCAAAAAATAGTTCAAAACATTTCGATGGAGCTAAAATTGGATGAACTTGCGCACTTGTTATTCTATGTGAAAAGTCTTGTTTTAATTGTTTAACATGCGCCAATTTATCTGTAGTAGAACATTGTGTTGCACAGGCATGTTCGAATGTTAAATGTGCATCGAAACTTTTTAATTTCCCAATTGAGGTTACATATTCAAAATATCGATTGAAGAGAAGAAGACCAGTTTGCGGTGTAAGTTGTTGAAAATATTGTGATTGTTGAAATGTTGGAAGTATATCAAGAACAAGTTTTGATGATTCTTTGTATACATATGGAAATCTGAATTTATCTGCTAATACAAACGACAAACTGGGATTTTCTCGAAAATTTGTTTCGAGGAACAATTTTGAAGCTTCTACTACACTATCGATTTCGTATTTATCCGCAAGTTGTAAAAAATCAGAAATATTTTTCCATGCAATTGCAATAAATTTGTGTGGATAAAGAAATGATAATAAATTTTCGAAACTCGATGCGGATGGATCTGTGAGATTTATACTTGGTATTGGTTCGTCTTGTCTTGTTTTGTTTTGGGCCACACAAGAAAACATATCTTGGAATACTTTCGATGATAATGCCATTAAGTTTCGATGAATTCGAAACGTGGTATCCTGGACAACTAGTAATATATCTCCATCATCATAATAGTGTACGGTACTTTTATTTGACATCGTTTTTAAGATAGTACGTGAACAAATTATTTGTTATTTGTTTTTTAAATGGTAATTTGGATAAAAATAAAAATTGAAAGTT